CTGATACTGTTATATCGTAAGGAAGACTGTTTACTTTTACAGATGCTGCCTGGATATGGTTTTCTTCATACTTAGGCATTTCGTGGTGTTTGATTGTTTTTTTAATAAGTACTGCAGCTCCTCCATGTGCTGTACCATCGGGATGATTTGTATTGTAAAGTATATAATCGGGTATAGAAAAATAGCTTCTTTCAGTGAAATGTGTTTCACTGATTAGTAGGACGTCTATATAGTTTTGCTGTAAAAACAATTTAACTTCTTCTTTATGACTAGGACGACCATTGGTATTCCACGGGGCAATTCTTAGAAAATTGGCCATTTTAATTGATTTTGTTGATTAGCGTGGCAATCATATTGAGGATCAGACTGTTTTGTTGTAGGGCTGGTTGAACATATTTTTAAATTCATCTAGGAATTTATTCATTGGTAAGTCTCATATTCTAGGACCCAAAAATGATGCGTCACGTGGCCATTCGACATAGAAAAACTAGCACTCCATAAGGAGAATGTTTAACATGCAATATCAGAAAAGTTTCGTCTACTGGTGTGGAAGTATTGTAATCGCGAAAATCTTCGAAAATGAGGTATTACGTTTTTTTAATGTTGTATAACATATACGAGTATATTATCACGAAAGATCATGTCACTCGTTTCTTTCCGTCTGTCTGTCCGGCAATTCTGTTGTACCTCTTAAGTACCGCTTGCATTTTCATGAAATTTTCATACAAGGTTACTACTATGCCAAGGACGGAAAGTTGTAGGTTTTGAAAATCAAGCAAGTGACGGCGGAAGATAACGCCAAAAACTAAAAGGTGTAAGGAATTGAGAGTTGGGCGTTGCGGAGGGGGAACGAGAGTGTATAGCAATTTTGAGGTGTTAGTATATTAATACACTTCTAATCCCAGTCAATTCTATTAGACATATTTCACACGTTATATATATTTCGCCGTACACTTGCCCTACAAACTTTCCCGTAGAGCACTTATCGGTCGCGGTACCGTCGTTCTAAATAATACGGTATAAAAGTGCGTATCAAGAGCTATTATAATTAGTTATCAAACATTGTTGCGGAAAGGTTTCACACCCGAGCTTCAAGAAAATGAGGCTACCGAGTACGGAGACGAATAGCACACTAATGGTTCTGACAAATCCTACGTCTTTTTGGTGCCATTTTATTACATGGAAATTGTAATAGGAGTTGTTTTTAAGGCATGGGAAGCGTATAGTCAATCTACTTGAAGACATTTTCCTCTTAGCGTTTCAAGGCAGCAACTTTAAAACGCCTTGTATATGGAATAGTGAGGGAGCTGATGTCATATACTTAAAAAAAAGGTTGTTTAAGGTTCTGCGGGGGACCGTCTGGCGGATGTCTTATGGTTGTGTCGAAATCCGCGAACCTACCGCACACACAGCTGTTAGGAAACAACTGACTCACACGTAATTGCAAATTTGGTAAATTACCATACAAATAAGGCATAATTATTGTACAATTATAGTATGTGTAGAAGGTTTGCCGTTCGTTCGAGTATATTTGAAGTTTTATGTCTATGATTTTAACTGCCCGTTTCCACGTTAATGGATAATTAATGAAATACCGTCGCGTTTACTTTCTTCAATCAATGTAAATATTAATTGAATCGGTCAGTGGAAAAATCTTGTAACTCCTATAGTTTGAATTTTTCAAGATAAGATAAGAACTGTGTCACTGACATAAATAAACTAGTTTTAAAGCACTTTTTAGGCTCAATGTAGTATTTCTGTTCCAAAAGACTGAAATCTCAAGCAACATTCACATCAGTTTAATAACAATAATAATGGAAATAGTCATATTTTTCTTTTCTTATTATTGAAAAATACACTAATATTGATTTCTTGTCATGTCACATATTTTAATTCTGGCTTAATTTTTAAGCTACATAGGGGAAATCCGGGCACAGAGAAGCCTGAGAATGTGAACTTCTCCGTTTTAATCTAAACTATGTATCGTCAAAAAATACATAAAATTAATCGTTTAGCTTTCTTCAATAATCGGCAAAATCAAGTCACACTCTTCTAAAAAGCCACTATCGCTACCAATATGAGTTACGATCAATCTTTGACCTTTCCCTGACGGTCCACGAAGACCTGTTGGCAAACCTTCAATGCTTGCTTGTCGGTTAATCACTACGTTTTTGTCTATCCAGGTTTTTTTAACTGTGTGACCTGCATTTACCCATGTCTCGTCGAAATCATAGATTTTTCTGCCTTGTCGCCTATATTCAATCATTTCGCGTGGGTATTTTCGACGCCAGGCGACTATTTCAGGTCTCTCTATCAATACTGACTTCCGATTACGCGTTTCGTAACGAAAATTAATTTCGTGCAGGGATTTCCTCATTACCTCGACGCTCATTTGGGGTTTAATTTCATTTTCCTTGATCGCTGCATGTACAGCCTTGAGGGTTGGTATCTCATTCCTAAAGAAGAATGAATGTACGGTTCGCCTTAACGCCATTTTGCTATCGTCATCCAATTTAACGGCCTTTCGTCCCTTCAAATTAAACGTTGGATCAGTAGTAGCTCCAGTTTTCTTTTTTTTAAGGACCACCCTGCGAATGGTCCCCTCTGGAACGCCTGTCATACTTTCACAACGCGCGACATAGTTCTGTTCAGATAATTGAACACGTTGAGCACGATTTCTTTCGCGTCCCTCTTCAGTGCTTTACGAAGCCGTCTACTTGTTCCCTGGCTTTCAGTACCTCCACTCGTGCCATTTGTACTCTCGATGGTTAAGTATAAAAAAAACAGTAACCACAGAAACCATAAAAATAACAATCACACAACAATTCTTATAAAAACACACAATATGCGATCGCTCAACGAAACACGTTCCAATGCGTTGCCGACGCCTATGAGTCTGCCGGTCGAGGCGCGTCTTTGATTTCATTGGTTCTACCGGCGGAGAACAATCAGCCATTATTTCCATCTCTGTCTGTGCTGTTGACCACCGCAAAGCCACAGAAACGACATATGTCGTACGCTATACGGCTGTACTGGAAGGAAGCCGGGATCGAGCTCTGATCACGTGTTGATCACGCGTATGAGTCATTACAGTTTTAAATAGTTGTAGTATAGAAGAGCGCACGTGTTTATTTGACTACCGCCCCAAAAAGTACTTTTTCAACAACAAAATTTTCATTGAAATATAGGTGTTGTGGGTGTAATTAAATCTTTATACTGTCTCTATAAACAACTATTCAAAATACTTAGGGTATATATTAAAGGACCTCGTCGGTCATGAGAAGAATTAGTTAAATGGTTTTTGTAGAAAAGCAAAAAATTCTTAAGCAAGTGATTTTGGGCAAAGCGGATAAGGCCTGTAACCTCATTCTTGTAGTTAGTGAATTTGAAATTAATATTTTGATACATATACCACATAAATATAACCTCCGTCGAGTAGTGCCTGCAAAACCCTAGTCGCGGACTTACGATGTTTTTGCACTGCACAGTTATTTTCATGATTGATGAAGTTGACCATAATCTCAGGGAAGAGGACAAAATAAATGAGAAAAAAATGTTAATCGGGAGATGACAGCGAGCGATATGAAATGACAGATCTTTGATGATCTTTTGGGAGAAAATTTAGGATGACAGGTACGGAAACTACGCTGGACTTGTTAAAACGAATCGCTTTCGACAAACTTCCATTTAGCTTGACCTTTTTTGTTAGTATGCGTGTTAGTATGAGTGGGAAAAATCTTGGAATTTAATTTTGAATCAGTCTACCTTAACCGACTGAGTCGAAATCTTGTACTACGTCACATTACAAGACAAACTAACCTGAATATAGCGAATGCTACAAAATAGGGATTTATCGTTTCCACAGTAACCCCCTATGATATGCGTATTAAATGAAAGAGCTCGATAAGTGTGATAGAATAAGCAAAGTAACATCATTCTAAATCCACTAAGATATGGGTATGAAATAAAAGGACCTGAAGAGAGAAACATAATGAGCAAAGTGACGTCATTCTGAAACCAATATGGTGCAGAATGGCGATTTATATGTTTCGTTAGTCGTCCCTACGATATGGGTCAAATGATAGGGCTTGATAAGAGAAACGCAATAAGCAAGGTGCCATCATGCTAAATTCAATATAAGCAAAGGGCTGAATAATATATATGAAATTTATATACGAGTATAAATTATTAAACTAGTTATTTGGCATCAATACTAAGAACTAAAAAACAACATTTTGCTTAGCTGTCGATAAAGTGCACCAAGATTTAAAAATATTTTTGCCGATTAGAAATATTTGAATCATATCGAAGCCCCTCCATCTAAAGTTTTCAAACAAAGGCGTGTTACGTTTTGAAAGCAGGATAAAAAAAGATCTAACACGCTTTTATTTGGGAGCTTGAGATGAAGGAGCTCCATTATCGCTTAAATTCTTCCAATCGAAAGAAAAGATGTTTTTGAATTTTTTGTTCACTTTACTAACGCTAGATAAAGATGTGTTTTTATAATTGATTTTTTTTATTTCAATCATACCTTATGATGGATGAAAAATGTTCATTGCCAAAGTAACTATTGTATTACTTTTCATTTCACGTAGCCCGTCACAGGAATGACCTACATTTTTCACGGTTTTCACGCGTGCGGAGCAGCGGGCTTAGTCTAGTACCTACTGTATGCAAAATTAAGATGCGATATCGCCGTGTGGCGATTATAGCATTATGGCATTTTCTTTCACATTAGTGTAGCTTTTCTCTGCCGTGGTAAGTAGATCATCCAAGAATATCCTTTATAAGCAAATCGTATGTTTACCAATAATAAATGAAACAACACTTTTTTACATCGCGCCAATTATCATGCACAACGAAGCACTTTTCTGCCACACGATCGATTTTGAGGTTAAATCATAACACAATGTAAGCACTGTTGCGTACGCAATGCCGGTTTTCGGTAATTAGTTTTACTCTCATGTCATTTTCTATAACATGCAAGAGGGATTTTTTACTTTCTTTTTTTTTCGGTCGATAGCGACACACGCAATATCTGGCCATAACGCAACTCCACTGATCATATCGGCCATCGATTTGTGCCTCTTGAATGCACTGCTGGAGTTTCTAAATTAATGTTCATTTATTTAGATATCGAGGTGACATCAGTGATACAGGGATGGAACTCCCCTTTTGCCCAGAAAAGATACTTTTCATTTCAAAATATTGTCTGGACCGGATAAAACTTGTTTGGTGGTGTAGGTTATGAATGTTGCATTTTTAGTGTCAGTAGACTGATCTCAGTACTACTAAACACATATGATAGATTGTAGTTTGAGATATGGTGGTCTACTCTGTAGCGTACTTTAGTCAACACACCTCATCGAGTTTTGTTTCCATCTGTGCATTGGAATTTTGAAATTGCACTACAAGCCTGTTTTTGAAAAACTTGCCATTTTCTAGCATTCAAGGTTATAGTCTATAAAAAAATTTAAAATACCCGATTTACTCAGTCGACTCTTCCCAAATATGCAAGACTCAATTCCCTTATTGAGTTACTACCAGCAACTTTAGTGTGGTGGTTGCAGAGTTTTAACAGAAAGTTATGACCCTTAACTTAAACCTCCTCAGTTGAAAATGAACGAAACGGATGAGTCACGTAAGGTACATTTGAAAGACTCGAAAACCATAGTCCTGGTTCTTAGATGTAGGTAGTTATTTTGAATGGTTGTTGTAACTGAATGGTCCACGTGTCATTTTTGAAAATACAAAAGTATGTTCTCACAATCCACCTCAGAAATCGCCATCATACATTTTCAGAAATATTTCTCCCCATAGTTATGTGATCGCTAAGCAGATAATGAATGTGTGCAATCACGTAAAGCTTGTCTAACTTGTTGGGCACAGAATTCTCTTGCTATTGACCTCTGTAACCATTTTTGAATATTACTAATAATTATTATTTACTACAAACTAAAACATAATTTATCCTATAGCTGAAATTATTATAGTTCATAGTATGTAATGTGTGATTTTTTGCTAGTATCTTTTTGGCAACACTGTTTTTGACAGAGGACGCGTGAATCGTGTCTTGTGTCATTGTCAAACTGGTTCAGTTTGGTCTATAATTTAACCATGAATCGACTTACGAACGAACAACGCTTACAAATTATTGAATTTTACTATCAAAATTCATGCTCGGTTAAGAGAGTGCATCGAGCACTGCTTCCAATTTATGGGCAATTTGGTCGGCCTACTGAGGGAGCTATTCGGAAGCTTGTGACTGAATTTCGAACCCAGTTTTCATTATTGGACATTAAACCACCAACACGCAGACGTAGAGTGAGGACTGAAGAAAATATTGCGGCTGTATCCGCCAGTGTTAGTGATGACATGAAATGTCGATTCGCCGCCGTTCGCAGCAATTGGGCCTCTGTTACTCCACTACGTGGAAAATTTTGCGACAGGATTTGGGTGTAAAACCTTATAAGATACAGCTGGTGCAAAAATTGAAGCCACACGACCTGCCACAACGTTTCCCATTTGGTGAATAGGCGCTGGCAAGGTTGGAGGAAGATCCACATTTTTATCGAAAAAAATTGTGTTCAGCGACGAAGCTCATTTCTGGTTGAATGGGTACGTTAACAAGCAAAATTTTCGCATCTGGAGTGAAGACCAGCCAGAAGCATTGCAAGAGCTACCAATGCATCCCGAAAAAATCACTGTCTGGTGTGGATTATGGGCCGGTGGCATCATCGGGCCGTACTTCTTCAAAGACGACAATGGCCGGAACGTAACTGTGAATGGCGAGCGCTACCGTGCGATGATAAATAACTGTTTTTTTGCCCAAAATGGAAGAGCTGGACTTGGCTGACATGTGGTTTCAACAAGACGGTGCCACATGCCACGCCGCACACGAAATAATGGCCCTATTGAGAGGCGAGTTCGGTGAACAGTTTATCTCACGTTTGGGGCTCGTCAATTGGCCGCCTAGATCGTGTGATTTAACGCCGTTGGACTATTTCTTGTGGGGCCATGTTAAGGCTAATGTCTAGAGGGATAAACCAGCAACGATTGACGCACTGGAAACCAATATTGAAGCATTTATTCGTGAGATACCGGCCGATATGTTGGAGAGAGTGTGCCAAAATTGGACCTTGCGCATGGGCCATCTAAAGCGGAGCCGCGGCCAACATTTACATGAAATAATCTTTAAACATTAAATTATATCGACAGTTCTATCGACTCAAATAAAGATTTAATCGTTTTTTCAAATTTTTTGTGTTTTGTTTTTTTGAAAATCAAATCCTATACCTCTTAAAAAATCACCCGTTATTTATTCCACTATTTTGACAGCTTGTAAGTTCCAGGCAAATTGATAAACTGAAGTATATTTTTGCCTTGCAGCATCGAGGCGGAACACTTTTTTGAAAGGTACCTAAATCACCACTTCTCCTTTCCTGCATGTGTAGGAGGCGCCCTGTATACCAACTGACAAACACTCAAATGATTCAACTTTCCCTTGCATATTGCACTAATTTCCATCCAAACCTTAACCCAGCGTGCAGAACGAATTCTCACAGTGCCGCACTTTGTCTTTGTCGAGAAGTGCATAAACGTTGTTGTATAGGCAGGATAACGCAACTGTTATTTATCTCCAGCATCAAATTGTTTATGCCGAAAGGATTACGACAGATTACTATGAATGAATAAACCGAATCATGCATTCGAGAGGTAGTACGACAAAGCCGTCTCTATTATCGTAGTACTTCCGCTTTATGTACAGCAGACAATTTTGTCAAGTCTAGGAGGCTCTTATTTATGATGCTCGTCTGAATAAATGGCTACATCTAATCATTGAAGCAGTTGGAATCACGTATAAAAGCCGTTACCTACTTTTCGTCTGTCTGATGTCTGCCATCTATTTGACCGATAGTGTTTGAACGCTTACAGCTTGCACAATACGCCTTGGAAGTTGGTCTTGTTGCGGTGGAGCTTTAATAAGTAAAAACTGGTCAATCTGGAAGTATTGTAATCGCGAAAAATTGAGATATTGTGTTTTGTGGATGTTGCATGATATGTAGATCACGAAAGATCATGCCATTCATTTCCGTCAGTCTGTCTGTCTGTTTGAATGCCTATCTGTCCGCCAGGCCGCTAATCCTGTCTCAGATTTTTGACGGTAGTATATTCATAGGTACTCTCTCAACCCCGATATTTCGGCGCACATATTAGCGCATGCTCGTATATCACAGATTTCCCCGTATATTCGCCTTTAAGGCGTGGAAAAATATCAAACAAGTTGCACTTGCCGTATGCTATGAACTTATAATAATGCCCACAAAAGCCTGGTTGCCCCTGCCGTGTGAGAAGTGCAGAGTCGACCTACTTGACGCGATTATTTTGTTTCAGGGATCTGCGATCAATGTCGCTAAAATTGGGGTTGAAAGTGTTCTTAAAACTGTATTGTGGAGGATCATGCATTTTTGGCAATAGTGATAGACGTTCGATTATTAGGAGACTCTGACTCAAAACTTGTGAAATAATGACAACATTGCATATAACGTAGTCAGCCTACTTGACGCCATCCCTCGATTTATGTTTTACGTCACATCAACATTGGATTGCAGCAACGGCAATGCTGTTCTGTCTTAGACCAGGAAATTTTTGCTTTCGTTAAGCAACAGAAACCCCTGCTGAGGTAGACATTGTCTGTTCTAAGTTGCTGAAGACAAAGTTCCTTATTTGGGCTATTCAAATAAGCTTGTTCTTTCACAGAGTCTATCTCTGCCCTACCTTCTCACCACTGTTTGCCTTTCTTATCAGATTTTTTCATTATACTTACATTTGTTTGCGCAGTATACGACTGTTAACGAGACAATATACCTAAAGAGATTGCATCACAATGCAAATATGATGAATATTAAATTGGGCGGCAGATTTGAATGTAATCCTAAATGAGCTCTGATGGGCGTATACTCGTAATATCTAATGAATGTCAAAGAAACAGTCTATACGGGGATCTTCTAAATCATTGATTCCCAAAGTGGTCTGTATCGCCCCCTAGGGGTCTATGACAACCTGCAAGGGGTCTACGTCAGCGAAAAAAAATTTGGGGGTCCATGAAATGAATATGGGGGTCAACGATACTGGATCTCAACACATACACTGATAGTACCTATTTACTTACATCATACTATCTTATAATATCAAAACATATACATTATTTATAAAAGTACCTATGAAGTAAAAAATTTATTATATATGTTTATAAAATTGTGTAAGTTGCCGGAGTTAAACTAATGAAGCAAAATATTGGACGGGGCGAATTTTCTCAGTTCCCCAATTTGTCACAGACAAGCTGCCAGGAAGACGACGTTTCAACTTACGTTCAACATTTAAATGCCCTCTATTCAGATTTTGAATCTAGGTTTGAGGATATTTTGACTATGGTAATACCACCGTGGATAATTAATCCATATGGTGACATAGAAGAAACGAATGTCATAATACAAGAGGAACTGACTGAACTAAGTACAAACGAAGAACTTAAGGTTCAGTTTAAAAACGGATATCAGCAATTCTGGCTGCAAAACAACATACCCGTTACTTATCCCGTATTATGGAATATAGCGAGGAAATTTTTAATTTCCTTTCCATCGTCATACCTAGTGGAAAGGGGGTTCAGCGCTGTTACCAATCTCCTAACGAAAAAAAGAAACAGACTGGACATCATTAGCCGAGGAGATTTAAGATTAACCCTTACAAAATTGACGCCAAATGTTGATAATTTATTATTAAAGCATCAGGTTCATCCTTCTCACTAAAAATATTGACTTATTGCTTATGTTATTTTATTTATGGTTTATTTTATGTTTAGTGGTGTCTGACCAATAAATGCCCGCATTGGGAAAAAGTGCCCGCATTGATTTTTTTAAAGAACCCCCCTTTATAGAAATTATTTTTTTTTAAATTATTCTGAAATGTCAAGGATAGGTACACACTAAAATTCGTTAATTTTTTGCCTATTTTTAGATAACTTAAACGTATAAGAAGCGGAATTTAATCAAACTAACAGTGAAATTATTGTAGAACATACGTTTATGTTATAATTAATAAACGAACTCGCTTATTGTACTATTTTAAGTAAAAAACTTTTTTTTTATTATTTTTCACTTTTTTTTATTTTATCCCTCTTATTTTTTTTTCAATGCGGGCACTTATTGATCAGACAGCTGTTTATTTAATGTTACGTATATTTTACATAACATATACAAAATTTTATTTTGAGTAGTTAAATTCAATTAATAAATGTATAAATTAACATGTGTTTTTACTTTAAGTTTTTAACACTAAACTTCACCACAGTTAGAAATTTACAGGAAATCAATATCAGGTAAGTAGGGGGTCTACCCAACACGGAAAAACATGGCCAGGGGTCTACGACACAAAAAAGTTTGGGGAACTCTGGTCTAAATCTAAAATACGTATCGGTATATTGGTATATTTGTAACAGGGTGTATTCTAGAGTGGTGCTACTAGACTTCTGACGGCAAAGAACTGAAAAATACCTCCAGAATATTATTAAATTTCGGACTTGTTTATTTGATCGATCTTTGATTGTTATTAGATGGTCATGATTTAATAGGTGCTCAAATATTTATCGGCATTTAAGTTTGTAGGTAACCACAATATACCAACTGACAAAACGATGGTAGAAAAACTGAGATTCAGATTCGAAACATCGAGGTATAAAGAAATTTCATATAAATGATGTCTTAATAGAACCTCAATACCAAGGCACCGTTACTGCTATAAGGAACTTACAGACACCTTTCCAATCCGATTTCTTGTCTACCTAAGGTTGGCAAAATCGTTGGAAAAGCCTCCCAAGGTAGACTGTTCAACAACACCGTCACCCTAGTAAAAATAGAAATGTCGTGGGTCTTATCTGGGCCTAGAAGCGAAGTTGGATCCATAAGGATCCCTGTGGAATGCCCGCGTTGACATTGTGGGATAAAGGAGGGAACCCATCCATTACGGCGGATATCTCAACGTGCACAATTTATTAAAGCCCCTGTATACTAGAAGCGTAGTATATCAAAATAAGCGGCTAACAATGAGTGACCCTGTAAGAGCAAACATAACAAATGTGTTAATTTTCAAGTACGTTTCCAGATAATATCTGTACACCAATGCTGTTGTTAAAACAAATTGCTCTAAAAATCCAGCATACATTATTGAATTATCGGATACTATGTATAAAGCATACATATGCATGGTAATAAGAACTAAAGGTCAAATTACCTCGACATAACCGCTAATATCAATTACCTGTCTAGTAAATCCACTTTCTTTTAGCGATATGGAAGAACGTACTGCGGTAATTAATAAATGATATTAAAACGGATATCAGTGTGTTATAAGTGCCGTAATATGTTCCTTATAGATCTGCTGCAATTATTGGTATGTCTAGTGTGCGCTACGATTTGGATTCGTTATGCCAACAGAGTAGAGACGGCCAATATGGTTACGTTCAAATACCTGTAATATCTGATATCGTTACTTTTTGATACTAATGGATGTTGTCATGTCATGAGAACAATGAGACTGTTGGTATACCGATATCCTGAGCAAAATACTCCGATGAAATTACATGAAGCCAACTACCACAGCCTTTAAGGAACGTTGTTGGTTACGGTGGTAATGATATACGACTCTCAGCTTTTTCGGCTCGCATCTCAACGTACTCGCACATTCAAACTTCAATGTCCCGGCCTCATGATGCCATTCGCCGTTGGCATGAACCAGCTAGTTCCCCAAGTCGTGATCATGTAACTTTTTTTCACAGTTGTGATTCGTGATTGAGAAACATCAGTTACTAACTCATATTTCGTGCAATACCTGCCACCACTACAACAGAGCTTGTTGGTATTTGCAACTGCCAGGGCAGATAACTGACGGACTCGGCATAAAATTGGACGATTCGTCGAAAGAGCTTCATTCGTTTTTGTCATACTCAAGAAAGCGCAAAGGAAAACCCAGAATCGGGTTAGCCATAAAGAAATTGACAGTCTTCCCATCCATGATTTGAACTGGTTGAGATTGGTAAGATCAAAACTGTTGTCTCTTTGTACATTGTTTCAAAACTTCGATACCCTAGGAATGATAAAATGTTCATACAGATGAACTTCAAATGTGAATGTGAATCCTAGGGGTTCCGTTTAGCAGACCTGGAGATTAGAACATCGATTAGGAGAGTTGAGAGAGGCTTGACTGGTTAAAATATTTGTAATAATAAATTCAAGACTCTTCTCTGAGTTTAAGGGCTATTTGTTTCCTCTCTGAAAAGAAATTCGAACTTGCGTTTTATTCGTCGTACAGGTGAACGTCGTACGTCTAGTAGCTTCTCAAATAAAGTAACTTACCCCAATTGCATTTAATCCAACTCTGACTTTGGGGTATTTCTTCATCACCATTTTCCAGAATACGTAAGCCATGATGGTTGCACAAAACAATCACAAAATCACTAGGAAAGTTCCCAAATCCACTTTCAAGGTCCACCACAAAGCACTTAGTTTATTTTTGTTATTATCGTACCTGGGTACGAAACTCGTTTAATTTTGTGTGACTATGTCGTTAGACAAGTCCCATTAATATCGCGTATTTTCCTTAGAAAACGCGTCACAGACATACTCGTATATAATTGTTTGCCGATGGATCTGCAATATAGGTAGCTCATATGTACTGGAAGTATTTACACGATAATATCAACGTTCACTCGGCTTTAGTCAAATCAATGTGGTAGGTGACTTATAGATGCATTTGATTTGTACGTAAAACCTTTGGTTTCATTTTCAGTCATATCTACTAAGTAATAAGGCTTACTAAATACTTTTGTCTTGAATATCTTTTGTTTTTTTTTGGCTTTGTCCAACATCTGGGCTGCAACATGAACACATCAATAATAAATGCAGAAACATTCAAGACACGTTATTTCGACTTCCGGAAGGCTCTATAAACAGGCAAAAATTGTGATTGTGTGAACTTGCTGAAAAATATGAAGACCACCAACATATCTCAACCATTTAGCTATATTCTCTTAACTAAACAAGCTCATTCCAAAAACTGTAGTGCCCTAGCTCAGAAAATAATAAGGAAACTATATCATTATCTTTGCTTTTCTTTTGTTTTAATCAAAACCGGCCACGGTTCCAAAGCATTCTTTAATTTGCCAGTACTTCGCCTTATATTATGTCCTTATCGTGCCGTGACTCTGTAGCTTATCTGGGTAAACTATGATAAAACATGCAGGCTTGTTATTAGTGAAAGCACTGTGAATGTATGCTAGTCTCAAAATTTAATTCTCAAATTTATAGCGTAGGTTAAATTTCACACATTTACTTATTGAGACAGGTAAAAAGTAGACATCAATTGCAATGTCACTGTACGTACGTACTATGAAAATCGCATAGTTAGCAACTCGTATTTAATGATGTGTGACTACTAATATTGTTAGTATGGTATCATTGTGCAATCTATCCTTGTTCTGACGTTGAACGAGTATTTAAATACTTCCAGTACATAAAATATTATGCTTAATGTGTGAACAGAAGCTTCAGAGTATTATTAGTATTCAGTATTAAATTGTTGTTTCACAATGAAGCTAAAATACATTTTGGAAAATGAGAAAGGTTTTTCCTGTATATGAATCAAAATAATTATGGCAATCGTGAATGTCTTCAAATTTCGTATTTCAGATTTCTTGGTTCTTTGATGCTAAAATCTATAACACTGATTTCTACGGATACCTATCAGTCTGCAGGCATAAACCTAGAAATGATTGAACCGATTCATATAAACATTGGCAATATACAACGATTTCATTATGGATAATGCCGTCACATTTTTGAAAAGTGGATTAGCGACTATGTCGTTCGTGAAAAATACTCCAGAAACATCTTCAAACTGATTTCTAGGTATGCTAAGCGGCAAAATAGTTGCTCAGGCGTCAAAAGTTTGGATAGATTTGTATTTGGACACTTGAGGTAAACTGATCTTTAAAGATCGGATTTTTTTTGTTAATTATCTCTTTGTTAGTATTTGAAAAAATAGGGATCAATGGCATTTTTAGGATGTCAAAAATGTAAATGTGTAGATGCGTTTTGTAACTATATTTTTTCCAGGCCAGAATATATTGACAAGATTCTCGTATTCATATTTTAACGATGTTACTTTACTTTACTGACACTGAAGCTTTTGTCACACATCGAGCTTGCTTATGGGCGCCCGCAGCAATTTTTCGTACGGAGGGGGGTGGTCGATCATGGGCAACAACTTTTGTGAAGGTGTACCTGCTCTCAAACTTTTTTAAAGAGCGAGAGCAGAAAGTTTTCCCATTAGGGCAAGTCCCAAGAATTCACAAAGTTGTACATAAATTCATGCTAAATATGCAAATTTTGGATTCTCAGGGGTCATCGGCGCCCCTGACACCCCCGTACGGGCTCCCATGGGCCTTCCACCTATACGTTTTTTGCTCCAAAATTTGTCAGTACACTGCACATCCAATTGCACAAACCCTTGCACAAACCGTAAAGCCGCAATCTGCACTTGAACCGAGTCGCATCACATCTTGCTTGACATCCCTCTGGTATCCAAAACACAAAATGAAGTAACGGAAGAGCGAACTTTGTCTTTAACTTAGAATCCTATAGATATCCAGCGTATGGAAGGAAGCACGACTTACGCCAAACCGACTTCGACTACACGAGTTCGAATTCACGGAAAAAATCACGGAACACAAAATTATGAAACAAAAAATCCGCGGGCGGCGCGCGAGCTTCAGCGAATGTTACGTCTAGCGCGCCGCGAAACAATCGACTGTCGCCGCCAAGCCGCCTTTGACCACACGTGCTTTTTCGACGCGATACGCCGCGAGTTACCTTCGCGCCATGCGAAGTGCATATGGGAAATGCGTTAGTGCGAGTGAGATGGAATAATGTGGTAGGAGAAGATGGGAAAGCTAAAGGTGCTCATTCATAAACACAACAGAACACACAGAGTGACAGTATCATGGAACATAGCTTAGAGGAACCGATTCTGTTGGCATATCGCTAAAAACAGGATAGAATGTCGACCATTGATTGCCTTGGAGACAGTCTATATAGCGCAATGCCAAAATGTGGAAAATAAGGTCAGATGGATATACCCGAGATGTCAATAAATGTCTAATGCAAATTATCTGAGGCGTTGAATGTGACTCGGAACATATCAATCGAAGAATGTATTGTTCAAGTTAGAACAAGGAAATAAAGTACACCTCACGATTATACAATGATGTCGGTATTATTACCTTGCGCAAGATAGCACTGCTTTGGTAATTATCGCTCAAGTAGAACAAAAACTTTCCGCAAGCAACTATGGTGCCGACGCCCTTTTATATGTATAGGTAATAAATACTACCGCTGTAGTAGCACCACAAACAAAGACATTTTATGTATTAGGTTAAAGATAGTATGGTTTGAAGTATAGGTTTTTAACTGTAACAAAACTTTATCAACGGCCTTTTTTTTGGCGAAGCTAGTATTGAACCAGTGCATATTTCGTATTCTTCAGACAAAACCAGTTTACATATTTATGTCCTTTTGGTCTATACTTTGAACTAATTTTGCTTTCAGTGCAAAAATATCACACGACTTGGAGGAGCTTTTGCTAGTGTTGCAACTGTCAACAGTGTCCCATTTTACAGCTTTTACTAGCGGCTTTCCAAGCAACTATGCTGGAGTTTTATCTTCTCTTGCTCGAAAACTGACTATAGCAGTAAAAGAAGAGCCGACGTGAGGCACGAACATTTTATGTTCTTTTGGGGGAAAACGAAGCATGAACTAGCACAGTGTGTTTCAAACACAGAAACTGCACCATTTATATCAAAAGAAAGAGACTCCTTTTAGAGACTTACACAGGCCCCTTTCACATAGGCTTAAACGATCAATGGCCTTTTGCTTCTGATTTGCCATCAGATTTAATTCCCTCGTTTGTTTTCAGGTTATAGAGTATATAAAATAACCTATTCTAATGAAGCTTTTTATGTTCTATCTACCTCAATAAGGCAGTCTAAGAAGATTTCCTAGGTTACTTGGAGGAGATTCGGAGTGACCACCTAAAGAAATCCGGGAATAAAATTTTCGAATAAAGAGTCTGACAAAACGTTTCTAGAATCATAGAGGGCACGTTCCGTGTCCTAAGCTATAAATAGGAATTATCACCTGTTTCTTTGATCTGTCATCTGAGGCCACCTTTTTTACTTTCGCAATATCTGAAACTAAAAAGGGTTACATCTAACCAATATAATATGATTATTGATATCAAGTTTTTCAAACCGGATTTTTCTCACGATTACTCCGTGTAATACATGCTTAAAAACTCATTGTTTTCCAGTGTGGTTTCAAAACATCCCAGTTTCAATGCCACTGAATCGGTTTCAACCCCGGAAACTTCCATGGTATATGTGAAACTATGAGGTCGACACGCTTAGCCACTCCCAAGGTATCCTTTTTTCGATTTTTAAGTTATAACCTCAACACACTGTATCTCGATAAGAACCTATTTATATAGGAATTTCCTGATTTCACTTTCAGCGCTACTAGTGAGGAAGTAGTGCAATCGCCTATGATTTCTAAAATGATATGTTTTTTGAGTGTTATATGACGAAAAACCATGTCAGTCATTTCAGTCGGTCTATCTGTCTGTCTGTCGGTCTGTCCACTAATTTTATAATCGCCTATAACTTGAGAAGTATTGCTCGGATTTCGATGAAACTTTTACACAATGCTGCTACTATGTCAACGACTAGGGAAAGTATTTTTAATGGAATTTCCACACAAGGTTACTATTATGCCAAGGACGAAAAAGCTCTTGGAAAGTTTCTGAAAATTGGAAGCCATTGGCGGTAGTATATATACGCTTACAGCCCCGCTAATTCTAGTCGTATTCTACACATCGTAGATTTCCCCGTCAACTGCCCTTAAAACTTGGACAACTATCTTCGACACGTAACGTTATCGGGATTGTCCGACGTCACAATCTCCCCCTTAATTCTGTTCCGTCACTGCAACGCTGCCGAGTCTGACGAGTGGATTCATCGAGCGACGTTGTCAGATTGACGGTACTAGCGGTACGGTAAGGAAAATATATCTATGAACTAATTGTATGGGCCTGTCTGACTGAATTGATCCATTTAATTTTTATTTGACTTGTTCGCAGCTAACTGTTTTCTGAGAAAGTCCAACTTATGCTGCACATAATCCTTTATGAACTGGTGACAGTGTTGCGTGAAAGGTGCAGAGTAAGCCTACTTGACACTATCTTTTTGCTTCAGAAATTTTCTTCACTTTTTGAATCTGCTTGTAGAGGCCGATAAATCAAGAGAAATTTCTTATAACCTCCGCAGCATTCACTAAAAACCCAATAAATGTTTAATTGTGATTTACGCGTACCTCACCGTCGAACACGTAACATCTGTTATTCCCACTCACCCCCACAGGGTGAGTGCATGTGCCTGGAAAGGCAAGTATCCCCAAGTTTGTGTTCCGCAATAATTTAATGGATAGGGTTCGTAGAGGTGTGTCAACATCTATTAAAGTCTATTAGTCGGACACGGGAGGATATTAGTATGGATGCTATAGCATAAAAACATGGCCGAATAGACTGACTTTTGTTCCTTTAGTTTGGTATAAAATTACTTACAAAATCTTTACAAGAGTTTGAGTCAGACCTTGAAAAGCCCCATTTGCAAAATATACTAATGGAAAAGATCAAATGGTCAAATAGAGATCATAACGGGTGATTTTTTAAGAGGTACAGGATTTGATTTTCAAAAAAAAACACAAAAAATTTGAAAAAACGATTAAATCTTTATTTGAGTCGATAGAACGGTCGATATAATTTAATGTTTAAAGATTATTTCATGTTAATGTTGGCCGCGGCTCCGCTTTAGATGGCCCATGCGCAAGGTCCAATTTTGGCACACTCTCTCCAACATATCGGCCGGTATTTCACGAATAAATGCTTCAATATTGGCTTCCAGTGCGTCAAGCGTTGCTGGTTTATCCCTGTAGACAATAGCCTCAACATGGCCCCATAAGAAATAGTCCAACTGCGTTAAATCACACGATCTAGGCGGCCAATTGACGGGCCCCAAACGTGAGATAAACTGTTCACCGAACTCGCCTCTCAATAGGGCCATTATTTCGTGAGCGGTATGGCATGTGGCACCGTCTTGTTGAAACCACATGTCAGCCAAGTCCAGCTCTTCCATTATGGGCAAAAAAAAGTTTGTTATCATCGCACGGTAGCGCTCGCCATTCACAGATACGTTCCGGCCTTTGTCGTCTTTGAAGAAGTACGGCCCGATGATGCCACCGGCTCATAATCCACACCAAACAGTGATTTTTTCGGGATGCATTGGTAGCTCTTGCAATGCTTCTGGCTGGTCTTCACTCCAGATGCGACAATTTTGCTTGTTAACGTACCCATTCAACCAGAAATAAGCTTCGTCGATAAACACAATTTTTCGATAAAAATGTGGATCTTCCTCCAACTTTGCCAGCGCCCATTCACCAAATTGGAAACGTTGTGGGAGATCGTGTGGCTTCAATTCTTGCACCAGCTGTATCTTATAAGGTTTTACACCCAAATCCTGTCGCAAAATTTTCCACGTAGTGGAGTAACAGAGGCCCAATTGCTGCGAACGGCGGCGAATCGACATTTCACGGTCATCACTAACACGGGCGGATACAGCCGCAATATTTTCTTCAGTCCTCACTCTACGTCTGCGTGTTGGTGTTTTAATGTCCAATAATGTAAACTGGGTTCGAAATTTAGTCACAAGCTTCCTAATAGCTCCCTCAGTAGGCCGACCAAATTGCCCATAAATTGGAAGCAGTGCACTCTCTTAACCGAGCATGAATTTTGATAGTAAAATTCAATAATTTGCAAGCGTTGTTCGTTCGTAAGTCGATTCATGGTGAAATTATAGACCAAACTGAAAAAGTTTGACAATGACACAAGACACGATTCACGCGTCATCTGTCAAAAACAGTGCTGCCATTTGAAGTGCTTTATCTTAGTAAAAACTGGTTCCATTGAGGTTTTATGACAAGCATTTCAGAGCTTCAAATGCCTAGTTTTGATTGATCTTTTATATATTTATTTGGGTCGAAGGACTTAGAAATATGTTTTCTCCGATAAACCAATACATGGACTCAACAGGCTGTTTACTTAATTTCAATTTATTTCTTTCTAAACTTTGGTGCGACTATTTGTTGCTGAAATATTGAATTTCTAACGAAAGAGGACCATTTTGGATTTGATCATCGATATCTAAGGAACCAATCACCGCAAAGAAAATCTAAGGGTAGTTTTGGAAGCAGGAATTATTTCTCCAAAAGGATCAATGGTAATTTTTGCTTGATACGGGCTTGAAGAGAACAAGAAAAAGAGTGAATAACTTGTGGTTTTCAGGAAAACCAAGTGCTGAGATACAAACATTGAAAAAGTGGCTAATGTGCCTAAATGACAGCTCTATATACCCAAAATATTCTTACCTTGATCTATCCAGAGGCCTTTTTGTTTTGAAAAATCAGTGTTTGGAAAAATCTCGTTGGTTGTAGGTGAAAACTTTAAAATGAAAAACGATTTTGTTAGTTTGTTGCACATTATCCCTACAAAAAGCGCTTTTTGTCAGAATAATGTAGGAAAGCTCAAAAACTTGTTTTCAATTTTAATGTTTTTAGCAGCATTAAACGTGAATCCCTGCGTGAAGCATCAATCTTTCCGACGTTCGGATTGTTCAAAACAAAAAACGAATGGATAGATCGGAGTAACATTTAACAGGGTTCTTGCGGCAATATGGAGCTGTAACAATTATGCTCAAAATTAGCTGT